GTGCATTCTGCTAAACAGCTCAAGCTTCTATTGTATGCATTTGAATAGCAAACAAAGATAATTTGTGGATATTCATAAGCCTCGAAAAAGCGTTCAGCTAGGTCACAGGATATACAATTTCATGTGACTTGTAGATGCATAGTGTGAGCTTGATTATGATGGTAAATAAAGACTCATAACCACATTCATCCATACGTTGTTCCAATATATTATGAAGTAACAGAATATTCGAAAATATTATTACAATCTGATGGTTTTATATAAGTTAATACCAAATATTACTCAATGTGTTTAAATTTAAATTATCATCGCCTTGGATACGGCGTTCATTTCAGAGAAAATACACTGCAGTAACTAAATTTGAAATTAATTCATTCGCATTACTTCTTTATTTTTGGTTGTGGGTGTTGCTCTTCTGAAAACACATCTGCATCCACACCCATACCCACATCCACACCCAATTTTAAACTAGAAAAAAATTTCATAAATAAAAACAATGAATATTTCTATTTATTAATGCTCGAAATATAACAACAAATGAATATAAATTCTATTAGTTTTGTTTTCAGTAGATTATACATAACATGAAAATATACTTTTATTTATAATAATTAAGATGCCAAGTTTTGCCTGAAACTTTTTATTTGAGTATCTTTTATCAAAAACATAAGTGAATATTACTGTCTCGCGGAATCTTGTTCAATTGTGAGCATTAACAAGATGACTATTTTCAGATCATCGCAGGGGTGCAGAATCTACCCGTGTGCGCCGACGGTCGTCGGGGGAAATTTTTCAAATTCCTTTACAGTTGGGGAAATTTTTGAAGGTTTAGTAGTGACATTTGAGAAAATTTTTTGGTATTTTCCCCTGTAGGGAAATTTTCGAAATGAGTCTTGGTTTACTTGTATATCTCAGGGAAGCCATGTAATGGTCGCTTTTTTTCTTCTCATTCAACTTTCGAAAGAGCCATTTTCTATTTTCATAAAATAATTACTATAAGTGTTATTAAAAGAAAAATGGCTGTTATACGATAATCTAATTATGCATGTAAAACAATCGATCAATGCTCTTCACAAATTAGTTAACAGTGTTACATTTTCATAAAATTGTTTATCGCTCAATCATTAGTATTTGTTGATTGCTTTTCTTTCTTTATCTGTGTTCTCAAAAATCAGGTTGTGTACGATTTGAACCTTCTTCATTCAAAAAAAAAGTAATTCGAATAACAATGTACCCACGTAAACAACAGGTGTCATGCTTTTATTGCGAATGAGTCGGGCGAAAAGATAAAGCAAAAACCCATTGGAAAAAACATCATCCTGAAGAAAGATTTAAGTTAAAGATTTCAGAAAACAACTTGACTAAATATCATTTTCGAAAAGAAGTAACTGAAGAATCCACAAAAATTCCCAATGATGATGAAAATACCGATATATTTGAAGAGCAACAACAAGCAAATATTACTTTATTGCCTGCATGTCTAACAGCCTCAACATCAACAGTATCAACAATGAATAATGCCACACTGCTGTCAACAACAAATCTATTACATACACCATCAGTTCCAAATGCAACATCAGATATAAATACATCGTCAGGTCCTACAGAAAATTTAGAATTGGTGAATTCTATGCAAGATCAATTGACATTCATGGCACAACAACTTATGAAAATTAGTAGTTCAATTGAAAATATTCAATTAGAAAAAAATAACGAAGCATCATCATCACCTTCACAACAAGATGAGATCGAACAACTATTTGAGAACATTACATGTTCAGATGATTCCTTTAATTTAAAATGTTTAGAAATAAATTATCAATTAGATATGATCATATGTATTTCTTGCTGCACATAGAAGACACAACCGTAGATGAACATATTTTTTCATGCTCTTGACCTGCGCAGACCTCAAGATTTGTCCATAGCGCATGACTTTCTTGCTCAAGGCAAGCGCTTCAGTGTTTGCATGAGTCATAAGAAACTCATGTGCTCAACCCAAGAAAATGCAATTATGAATTTTTATTAAAAGTGGAGTTATTTTGAATGCCCTAGTCGAACTTTTTTTTTCATGCTCTTGACCTGCGCAGACTTCAAGTTTTGTCCATAGCGCATGACTTTCTTGCTCAAGATAAGCGCTTGAGTGTTTGCATGAGTCACAAGAAACTCATGAGCTCAACTGAAGTAAATGCAACTATGAATTTTTTTTAAAAGTTGAGTTATTTTTGAACGTAAAATTTAAAAAAAGTAAAAAAAAGTTCCTAGATAATAGGAAAGCTTGAATCAGAATTCAAGCACATGAGCAAAAATATCAAGCTATAGGACAAGAAGTTCAAGAGATTGAGCTCGATAAAAGGTCTCAAGTCTTGCCTCAAGATTTGTCCATAGCGCATGACTTGCTTGATCAAGATTCTCAAGTATTTCATGCGCAGACCAAAAGAAGTTCGACTAGGGCGTAAACTTGAAAAAAAAAACTAAAAAGCCTCCTTAATAACAGAAACGCTTGGGTAAGAATTCAAGCGCATGAGCAAGAATATCAAGCGATAGAACAAGAATTTCAAGAACTTGAGCTCACCGAAATGGTCTCAAATATTGCCTCCAGATTTGTCCATAGCGCATAACTTTCTTGATCAAAATTCTCAAGTATCTCCTGCGCAGACCGAAAGAAGTTCATCTAGGAAAGCACCAAAATATTTAATAAGTTCAATTAATTCTTCATTTGGTATGTTTCAACACATTGAACAAAAAATAGGTGAACCTCAATCACAAAAATTTGCAATGTATTAAATATTAGTGGCTTTCTTGAATAAGTATTTTCATCCAGAAAAGTCGCTATTTAATTGATTCTCATACCTGGGGAAATTTTTCCAAAAAATTTTACCGTCGGGGGAAATTTTTAATTTTACCGGCAGATTCTGCACCCCTGGATCATCGATTCATTGAAGTATGAGTGTAGGTTCGATCGAAGAGAAAAATTACACTTAGACAACATCCACACATACCCTCTCGACTTTCTATGATATTTGAGGGATTATTGAGACACACTTTTTGTTTACTATCTTTTAAGAAAAAATTTTTAGGAATTTGAATTATTCATATAGGGATTATTTCTTATATCGAACAAGTTTAAGAAAAATGTGAATAATCATCATTCATTATGCTTCCAATTCTGTATTATATCTGTATTAACTCGAACAAGAAAAAAAAATCATATTCAACTAATTTTAATGCTGCCAAAGATAAATAAAGAATCTCAACGATAATGTCTTTTTCTTCTTCTTAAATATATGTTTTTTAAGTTCATGGTCACTGGATAATAATCAATCATACTATTTTATTAAATCTTGTATTTTAATAAATTGTTTTGAATGAAGTTTATCATATGACAATATAACAAGATATTCATCAATAGAATAAATGAAATTTGATAATAAATAATAACCTGCTTTATTTTCTTCAATCATTTCAAAATAATTATTTATATGAGTAATTATATGCTAAACTAAATGATTAGAAATATAATCAAATTCATCAGCATTTAATCAACTATAATTAACACGAATTAAAATTAATTGAATAAGTAAATCGAATAGAGCAGTTTAAAAATAAATTTCATTTGTATTAATAGATTTTTTAAGACTAATATTTTATTTAAATAAAAAATTGTAAAAATAGACAATATATTTGATGTAATGCATAACATGAAATAAATAAAATAAAATTATCGATTATTGAATACTTATTATATGAATATAAGTTAAAGAATTATTTAATAATAATTGTGAAGATATATTGGAAGATTTTGTTACAGTAGATGATGATCAAACGATTGATTGTTGACGAATATTTAATAAAAATTAAATAAAAAGATTTTTTTTTAAATAAATGTTTTTATAAGAGAAAAATTAATTTTCAAACTTTTTTGCTGTTTTCTATCCTAAAATAGAATTTTGGTAATAATATATCTTCCACATCGCTCACATCAATCAACTAGTTTAATATTCGGATTTCAAAAAGCAATTAAATGAAAATATTTGACGCTTTCACAACAAACTACTCTCGCTAAAATCATCGATACTTGACATTGTTTAAAGGATAATAATTGAAATATTCTTCATAATAAATATTTACTATTTAAAATAAGTTACCCGTATTGTGTACATTGAATACTAATTCCAAATTTTTTGCTAATTCTTATGTATAAATCAGACTTAAAACTAATTTCGTAGACAATAATATTGTTGAAAATAAATTGTCGAAACCGATCAATTTCAGATGAATTTAATAAACTCTTTTTTTTAATTTTCTATAATGAATGTATTAATTCGAATAATTTCATCATTAATAGATTATTGCCAAAAGTATATAATTGAGTACGATTAACCCTTTTTTTTATCAAATATTTTTCAAATCGAAAAGCATTGAGACTCCTTTACTCTGTGAAAACTGAAATGTTAACTATAGAAAATTATCTTTTGCCCAAAGAAATGATGATTCAGAAGAATTTTGCAATTATTCGAGAATGATAACAAAATAATTCAATTTTCGAATTACTTTAATCATTTTTTCTACTTTCAAAAGATTTTTTCATTTGTTGAGATTTGATTCAATCTTAAAATAAAAATATCTTTTTTTATCTTTATTTGAAAAGATTAAATTAATAATATCGAGTTATTCTTTTAAATTATTAAGATTATCTAATATAAATCGACGTTTAAAAAAATATATAAATAATAGAATTTCATCATGTTGATTGTGAAAAAATGGTCGCATTCTTATTGATCTTAAAAATACTAGAAGAGAATAATCATTTTCTTAATATTCAACCTATATGAAAGACAAATATAACAAATAAATTCTACTCAAATTGCTACTTGAATTAAACGCTTAAATATTTATGTTGATAACACATTATATTGTTTCATACTATACTTGATCATTCAATATTATTACAGAAGTATTTCATTATTGTTAATCAATGATCAATTTAATATATAAATTGACATGATTAAAATAAATTGTGATCAACAAACCTAAGAATCAAAAATTAGTTAATAACTAACTTAATGCGATAAAATCGACTTATCTATTTAAATTCAAAAAAAACTATCTAGTTTATATCTCTACGAAATACATACTTATTAAAAGTCGAAGGATTCTCTTAACAAACACGTATATCAGGTTAATGATGTTTTAATTATTGTTGTTGTTCAAGATAAGTTAATATTCGAAAATTAATATCATTTATAAATTGAGATAGAGCAACGTATTTTATATATACACACAAAAAAACAAATTCTTATTATTATAAACTTCTTTTATCTACCTTAGCAAAAATATAGGAAATTGTATCATGTTGAATAAAACCTTCCAATAATAAAATTCCTATGATTGGTAAATTCATGACTTGATATTAATAAAAAAAAGTAATAATGTACGTAAAAGATTTAATGAAACATGTATAAAACGTGCATCATTATCATTAAGATATAATCAAAATGTAGAAAATAATTCATCTAATATATCTATTTGAATATGTTTAAAAACAAAAGAAAATATTTTTATGAAAAGTAAGAGACAATAAATATTCGAATCTAATCTTGAACTGTCTTGGGAATCAAGTGATACAAGTCAACATTAATTAATAACCAATTTGATAACGATGATGGTATTAAAAAATAAATTGTTGTTTGAATTAATGTAACAAGTTATATTTACATATGCATCACGTAAATTTAGATCACCTTGTTTACATAATGATAAAAGATATCTTAAAGAAGAAAAAAAACCCAGTCAATGTTCGATAGACTTTAATGTATTTGAAGTGATGTAGAGATAGGAATTTTATTTTTTTCTCATTAGGGAATTTTATATGAATTAGAAAATTTTTATTTAATCAGAGATCTTAAAAAACTAAAGAAAGACTTCATAGAGAATATAATTGATTTCATAACTCGAACTTCGACTTAGAACTTTTTTTTAAGATAGTTGTGTGATTGTATTATTTCAATGTTTGATATATAAATGCAGCCTCTAGGATCTAAAACCTTTTTATGTCTAACCTATTCAATAAAATATTCTACTTGATATCTTTTCGAGTTTGATTATGTTCTAGTCTTTTGGTGGTTTTCAAAAAAAAAATGAAGAGTAGCACTAAAAGTAGAACTAGAACTGCTGAATGAAGATCGAGAAATGTTCATTGTTGAATTTTCAAATTCTAGTATCTGTCTTTCATATCATTTTGTTTCAACAATTTTAATAGTGAAATTGTCACATCTATAAAGTAACTTTCACTAAAACATTGAGACTTTAACCAATTGAAGCGACATCAACTAAATTCTGTCACAAACTCTGTTAGCAGATTGATTCCATTCACCCAAACCCTCCTATTGTTGCAAAATTAGAAATAATTTTGAATTATAAAATAAATCTATTTTATCAAAATGAAACTTTATCAAATTAAGCATCAAACATACTTTCATTAAGACAAACAAATTGATCAAATTGTTGATAAATATGATAGAAATGTTGGTATAACATATTTAACACTAATGTGTGATTCATCATCACGTTTTTATCGTATTATCCATATTGACTATATATCTAATCGGGAGCAAAATAATATAATTGTTCAATAAGTTTAGCAGATAATGTTCGTTTTTCATTATTAATCATTGATGTTAAATCCAATTAAACATTCATTTTATTTATTAAAATATATTTTTTTGTTCATAAATTTCAATAAACCGCCGTTGATATATTGAATAAACTATAGTTTTAGAAAAACAAACACAAATAAAAAAAAACCTCTTGTTTTTTTCTGAATATTTACTTGTTTTGTAATGCTTTACTAATACGAGTTTATTCTATACATCCAAATTGAATAAAATTTGTTATTAAACCAAGTGAATCGATTATTAAGCGTGTAATAGCATTTTGATTTTGCTGTTAAAATAAATGATCTATTAAAGTAAACGATAATTATAATGAATTGATATTATTATTTAAAAGAAAACTTACCAATTGCGTTTGTTATTAGAAATTGTACTATAACAATAGGATAAAATATTTGTCGAATAGGTCATGAGAAGTTCCTAAGAATAATTTAGAAATTGATTATATATTTCAAAAGAAAATTATTTATTATTAATATTAGGAAAAGAAATAGAAAAAAAGTCGTTTTCACTCAACTATCATACTATAACTATACGGATAGGCAATGAACTACTATGACTAAACAATTCTTAAGTTGCATAAAACTACGTTCGATTACTTTCGAGGGCGGTTCTCTTCAAATGATGGATAGTTTCTCAGTCCGTATTTCGTCAAATAATATCAGAATATCTATTCTATATTTTCTGAAAAACATCCTCTTCTTCTTGAAGTTTTAACCGAAATATGGGCTCAGAATTTGTCAATTAACTAGAGCAATCCTTTTCTATGCTTCTGTTCAATCGCATGATATTTTTCGGATTACTTCTTTTAAAAACTTATCTTAGATAATAAACATTTTTATTTTACTTCCTTTAATTTCTTTATCATTAATCGATTGACCAAGAATAGGAAAAATTAAAATTCATAATATTTTGATAAAATGGTTGAATCCTTTTCGGATGTATTACATTTGTTAATTTAGCAAACCGCTATAGAACATCTAATTTAAATTAAAAAAAAACAAGCCATATTATAAATTTAAGTCAAATAATAAAAAAACTAACCTTTTAAAGCTTTTGGTCCAACATTAGGATTATGTTTTATAATTCGATGTAATTCAACTTGAATTTTTGTTAAATCTGATTCTTTTAAATTCTATTTTATAATTCATACAAAACTATAGAAAAAAATTCTCTTTTGATACTTTAGCAAGTTGATTAAGATATTCTTCGGTAGTCAATCGTACATCATAATCATTTTTATCATATGATGTAAATAATGTTTTCATGCTAGTTATAACTAATTTAAAATAATTTTCATTGTTACCCTCTAAATGAGAAAAACATTCGAGAAGAGATGAAAAACAAAAATCAAATCATTTACTCGATTATTAATGTTTCTGATTTTGTTGTTGAAAGTAATTTTATAATTTCAAATGATTTACGTAGTTTATCCATTTTATTTAATTTATATTCAATTCATTTATTTTACAGTCAAATAAATAAGTTTAAATATTATTTTATAATCATAATGATTAAGTAGCTGATTGTTCTTTAACAACTTTTCGTTTAATGTACAACTTCATCTAACAAGCTACTTAAGATCTAGCTCTATTTTAAGACTATGATCTCTTATATCTTGAATATATGGATATTTTCAATATAATCAACTATTATCTTTGTTATGACACGTATGTTAGATGTGCGATAAGAAAAAATGTTATATGTATTATCAAATATATTCGTTCTCTTTCTTTTATTTCTTAGATATATGATTTATCGTATCTGTCTTTTCTTTCGTTCTGTCAAGTGTTTTTTTTAGTCTGTACTTTTGTTTTGTTTCAGTGATTTCGTTCTCTCTCATCGAACAACTCTTGTTTATTCTCTTTCGTGTCTATAATTATTCTTTTTTCTATTCGTGTAAAAGAAAACGTTTTTCTTCACCTTGAACTGAAATTTATTGCGTAGTTAGTAATGCGTAACTACATTATATATATGTTGCTTTGATTGTATGAGAATGATGATTGTTATTGTTGTCATTGATTCAACAAATGTAACTGATAAAAAAATACTTAAATAACATCTCAAAACAACCATATATACATCAATGTAAATATCGAACATAACAAGCTTCTATGTAATAGAGAATGAAAGATTATAGCTCGAGCGATTACAAAATAAAACGTATTTCTAATTAATAGAAATAAGTCTCAATGATTGATATTTTGTTAAGAAATTTCATTCATTATCAAGGTAAGATAGAAGCAACACATTGTTTCGTAAACACGTGTTAGAATTATGTACTTCAATCACATTATAGTGACACGTTTTCATTTCTGATTGATGGAAGATGGATGTAGATTGAAGTCGAAATTGAAACTGTACTCGCTTTTATACTGAACATAGAGTTTAATATCGCTGCCATATTGAGAACGACTGTATTTGCTATATCAGTGATTCATATTGATAACTTAACTATAATTGACATGTCTTTATCGATACAATTTAACAGGGGGATTTAAGTAGGTCAGCTTTGTTTTAATTTATTGAAAAATAAAAATAAAAATAAAAGTGAACGCAATATAATATAACGCAATGTATTTCTAACTAAAATTTGAGTTTAAAAAAAGTATATTATAGCTTAATGCTCCATAATCTTTCCATCAGTCTTCATCATCATCATGAAAAAAATCAAGTAATTTATATCGTCTGTCTAAAGGTTTACCCTGTGCACATTTCGTAGCATAATCGATAACCTGTTCAAGAAACTTGCTTCGATCTTTTATTGAAGCCGTCTGATATGCTTCCATGAATTCATGAAGATTTCCAAGTTCTTCTTCTGTTTGCTTATCCATAAATTGCTGGGCCAACCCATTCACCTTATCCGTGTCTATTTTCTCACCACGTGTGTTAAAATTTTTATAATAATAATAATCGAGAAGTGTGTCTAATATGTCGCTTCGTTTTGCCGCTGATTTCTCTTTGATTGCTTTAAGAAGAGCATGACATTTCATGATAAATGCCCTGATACGATCATTATCTTTGGTGTCGAGGCATTGTTGAAGTATAGGTATCGCTACGTTAATTTGTTCAGGATCCATACCATTAACACTATTGATTGAAGCTTTAGATATATGATCACGATGTGGGTCTGCACTTCGGTCATTGAAATACAATCCTCTACTTTCAACAATGTTGTTGCTTGAGACCAAAATAACAAGCAAACATGCAGTAATGCGCACTAGATTATTAGCATACATGGTTAAGACTGATTTGATTCCTTACCATACCTCAATATTTATACAATTGCTTTCGAATAATTGCCGGCCGTCTAATCAGCCGTTACTACGACAAAAACGATGTATATTAGACGAAAAAGCTAATCAAGAACGGACGGATAAAAAGAATATATCGTTTCATTGGCATTTTTTAATATTGCGCACACACAATGAAAGAATAAAGGACAGAAAGAGACCTAGTGAAGCGGAAAAGATGATAAGAAAGGCGTTTTATTTAGTGACTTGCATGTATTGAAAAGAAAAATGACTTTTCCTTTTTGTTATATGATATTTTCAATGATTTGGGTTTCTTTTATTACATGTTTCGCAGTCCAATCATTTTGAATATTTTTGTGTAGATTTTTGTTTCACAATCAACACGTGATGTATCACCTTTGATTTCGTTCTACACGATTGAAATTAGGAGAATGATAACATATACATAACTACAACGGTAGATTTTATTCAATCAATTCTTTAGTTTTCAAACCGACAAGTAGAATCAACACTGTAATCTGAGAATAATCTAATAGAAAAAACTAAAGGACCATCAATAATCCTTTTGAGAAAAAGAAATGTTTTTTTATTATTTCATATGAATTGATTCGATTCGTCAATTAGGAATTTGTGAAGTTTGAACTATTTATTTGATCTAACTTCTTGATGGATTCGAATCGATTCTTGTCAAAAGTGAATTGTTTGTTTTGTTCTATTGAAATATGGGAATATTGAAAATTGTTTCAAATATATTTGAAATGGGAAAAAAAATGTATATATTTTGGAGACATCACCGTGGAGCGGTTCTGAAGGAAGAGTGTTCGGAAAAAAATAACAGCAGATTCGGAATCAGCGTGGTCAATTACCCCTGTCGCCGTCGAGATCTCGAGAGGGTACCCTGACTCCAAGAAAAGAGCTTTTTTACAAAAATCAATACAAAAAAAGCGAAGAGAACGAAAAAAAATTCTCGCTTCGCAGGGGATTCCAACCCGTCTCGCATCATACACGCTATTTTAGCCATTCAGCTATATGCGAATCACTTCTATTTTTTCTTTCCTGCGTATCGTTCTTCATATTTTTTATTAATATATTTCGTATAATTACAGATTGGCTGTTGCATGCATCTCGATACAAATATCGTTGTAGCAAAAATATATAAGCTCATCTTTAAACGGTATCAAACGCAGGCATTTTAGTTGATTCCAACTATTCAATAAGAGAAAAGACGAAGCTTAGAGTTTATTATTTATACTATCATATTTCAACGTATAATAAGAAATGAATGGTTTATTCTTCGTTGTGAAACGAAATAATTTGATCCGCTTCATGCTGAATTGAAGAAATAACTGTAAATCTAATACGATATTTAGAAAAATAAACCGCAGATAAAAAGCTCGTTAGAATTTCAATATCATAAAATAAAACAGTAGTAAAATAGTTTCTGATTAAAACTTAATTTGTGCTACAATAATCAAACGGACATATAGTAGTAATTGATTTTTGGTGATTCGTCAATTGAAAGCAATTCCAAATCAAACGAAGCAAGATATTAAATTATGTAGCACTTGAAAACGTCTTATAAACACAATTACTTTACTTTTATAAAGTATAAATTTAATATAAAGTATCTACTGTACTGCACATATTCCGAAAAAAGAATCACTAATCAATGGACATAGATGACTTTCAAAAATTCTTGAGTAACGTATCATATGCATTTTTCAATGCTGAAAAATAAATCTAAATTGAATTTCTAGTTGGAACAAAATTTTAGAGTTGACATATACATGAAGGATATAGAGAAATAATGAAAAATATGATTATTTGGATGTTAGTAGAATATCTTCTGTGGCTTAAATGAAGACCGGCTGCTATTTAGATTTCAATCATTTTATATTCATTCGATAGCTCTTTCTTTGTTCTATCCAAATCCGTCAAGAAATCTCTGGGCCCGTTAGAATTAGCGGAGAAATAGAGCTTGCAATAAAAAAAGAGAACAAAACAAAAATACGAAAAAAGCAGTAGGGTCTATCAAATTTTGAAGCTGGTGTAACTATTTAATGGAGGTTGAAGAAAAATTGACATCTGTAGTTTTGTAGAGAGAACTTCGCTCTGTCAAATGGTATATTACTCGGCAAGATTATGATAATCTACTGTGGAGAAAATGATCAAATATTGACTTACCAAATTTTGCAAAAAAAACATTTTTTTTTTTCTAAACCAGCTGAGGGTGCATTCAGTGTGTAATTCATAACTTTTTAGGGGTAAGATAGAATGAGCTAAAATTTTGGATTTATAGGTTTCTCACTTTCCTCTTTCATTTCCAATAATAAAATATAGGGGTCAAAATTTTCGAGAGTATGGCTATGTTCGAGTTTCTCATGGACCGTCTCTTAAATAGCTATATGTTTAATTAAAAAGTATCTCTTTTGAGAAGCTACGGTTTCTGTCATTCTATTTATATGTAGTATATCTTCTGATTACTTGAATAATGAAATTTCTGTTGCAAATTTCAACATTTTTGTCTTTTAGTGACAAGAAAATCATAGATATAATTAAAGCCCAATAAATATTTTACAAGAAAAATCATGCTACTAGATGTATTTATTGGAGATAATATGAATAGTATAAATGTATATATGTTTAAAAAGGTAGGTTATAATATACCATGATATAGGATTTCATTATGTCGGTTTCTTTTAGATATGGTGCAAATCAATAATGGTTGATTTTTCTGGGATTGTAAATTTTAAAAATTCGTCTACTGAATCAGCCATGTTTTTCAGCCAAGGTAAACGATATGTCATATCCAATGCTCTTTTTCCAGTGACGATGGATGTAAACGAATGATCGCGATAAGTGAAAATATTTTCTTTTTTATGTTGAATCAATTCTTCTACACCGGATATGATTTTGTTTACATCAAATTGAGGCGGTGTATGACATTGTTTCAGTAAATCACGCATATAATCGATTTGATAATAAAACTCGCTTTTTCCATCACCAGATGGAAGACTTTTTTCACGTTCTATCCATTGATTAATATCTTGTTCTCGTAATCTAAGGTCAGGTAATGCAATTCGATCAAGAATAATATCGCGTACAAACGAAGCTTGAACATCAAACATTGTAAATTGAAAAACTAGACTTTGCATACCTAAATAAGCCAGATTAGGTTGTTTTGACCAAATAATACCTTTGTAGAGATTTGGTGGAGAAAGAACTTTTGTTGGGCAATCCAAACGAAGATGTTCAGCCATAAATGGATAATAATGTCGATATCCTGTACATAAGATAATACTATCAATTTCACTTTCACTTTTTGTTCCATCTTGAAAATATGCCCATCGATTTTCCAGACATACTAATAATGGAACTTCTTTGATCTTCGCATACGGCCATGCATGCCCTAATGGTCGTGTACGATAACTAATTGTTATTGCACGTACACCAAATTTACACAATTGTAAAGCAATGTCTTCAGCTGAGTAACTACTACCGATAATCAGCACGTGCTGATTTACAAATTTCGAAGCATCATGAACATATTTCGCATGAACAACACGACCAGAAAATTGTTCTATTCCATCAAATTGAGGAATATTTGGTGTTGCATAGCGACCTGGAGCAACAATAACATAATCAAATATTAACTGTTCTATGATATTTGTTTGTAAATCTTCGACAGTAACTTTAAATATGTCCTGTTCGGTATCAACATTGTGAACAATATTTTGAAATCGAATAAATTTTCTTATATCATTTTGTTTGGCTCGACCAATGAGATAGTCGTAAACGACTGAGCGTGGCTGATACGATGGGGTAGAATAACCGAAATGATCGTCAAATGTGTAGTCCACATATTCAACTAATTCTTTAGGACCATTAGACCAAAGTCTTCACAAAAGAAAATAGAAAACTTAATCAATAGAAACGAATACAAAAATGACTTACTGCCGATACATGCTACTATGAATATACTCTTTAGAAGAATCAGTTTCGCTTTCATACGGGTATAACCATTGACCTCCCCATTCGAATTGACGCTCAAAACAGACAAGCTCCACATCGTCATCTTTCAAAGCAATTAATTGAGATAGACCACATGGACCCGCACCAATAATAGCAATACGTTTTTTCGTCATTTTATAATCTGATAAAATGCAACTTATGCCGAATCGATTGATAACGAGAAACTAAAACAATTGAGCATTGTACTCCAGAAGCAAAATGATTCAATTTTCTACTTACATGGTTTCAATATTTCGAATAATACGACTCCTTTCTCGTATACCACTTATATAGAGGATTATCTTCACTTGACAGAGAATTTTCCATAAATCTCATATGGATTTTTCCAAATGATACCATTATCTAAACAAATTGAGTATCTGTTTCAGAAGAAGCTTACTATATCATAGTAATAGATGTTCTTCAGAAACATTGGTGGAAAAAGAACTAACAATGAATTATTGATAATAAAGAGTCTCAAAGAAAAGTATTTTCCCACAACATGTATACTCTCTTCTGATAGATGATGAAGAAACAATGGGAAAATACCATAGACAAGAACGCAAAAGAATATGAAGATAATTGACATATTAACAGAATATGTTACAGAAGCCAACGGTAACATTATAGAGGTCGCTCTCAGTGATATCATTTCTTATATCAAACAGGCAAAACAGATGCAATTGAAAAATCACGAAAACTCGTTTTACGATGTTACAATACACTTGCTTCTCAACAAGAGCTATCTGTAGTTAAAGTTGCTTCATATCTCATGAATTGGGATGATCATTACATAACACATAAGTTTCAAGGTCTTTATTTAATTCAGACCGAACGGTATTTACAAACACAATTGAATGAAATACACTCCAAACAAAAACCCAAAGGTTCAATGCAAGGTCAGTATGCTTTTTCATTGAATGCGTTCGTAGAAATTATAATAAAAGGACTAATGATAAAACAGGATGAAAAGAGGAAGAAAGACGTGAGAGGAACTTATCTCTGAAAATTAAGTTAATGATTGTTTTATTCATCGAAAATATACTTTGCTATTGTTAGACCTGTAATAGTGGTATTCATTACATATATATCTTTTTTTTCCTGAAGATGTCATACAGAGAACCAGTACGATATTTTTTTCTCTTCTCTCATCTTTGTGTCATCGAGATGTTCTATTTGATGTTACAAAATCTTAAACTGTACAATAGAAAAATATTCTAACCGTTATTTCTACTACACGTATGAATGAGAAACAGTGAAGATTGCTTGAGATGAAATCTTATAATTAAATAATAACCAATACATATTGTCTTTTTTTATTCAGATGTAATTGACGATGATGTATATGATGGTGAAGCTATTGATGATGAAAACAATGACGAAGAACATTTTCAAATTCAATCAACTGAAAACGATAAAAAATATGTACTCATTAATACAAGAATTGATTACCAATATCGCTCTGATATTCTCAATGATATGTGTTTATACGACTTTGTCAGCACGCTATATAAGAAAAATATGAACACAACAGATTTGAAATATTTATCTGAAGCTGCAGCATCGATGAAAGACAAAATTAATGAAAAAGTTCGACCACATAATGAACGTTATCCTTTTCAAAAGCAGCATCCACAAACAACAACACATCTCTTGATGAAATACAGTGAGCGCCATGTACCTATTCTTTATGGCCCACAAATTCCTCAACAAGATCGTGATGATACTCGAGAACGATACAGTCGAGCTATTCTCACACTTTTCGTACCTTGGCGCACTGTTATTGATCTTTTTAGCGCCAATCAAACATGGGAAGATGCTTTTAAATCTCGACAAATTCGTATTTCTATTCATTCATGGAAGATCATAGAAAATATTCAACTTTTACATGAATGTAAAAAGGATCGCGATGAACATTTACTTCAAGTTATTACTGAAGCTCAAACACATAATGATACAATCAATCCCGTTCTTTTGCCTGAAAACCAACACATTGATGGCGAATATGATATGGACGATAGTGAAGACTTATTAGAATTAATAGGCAATATAGATGAATACACAACTGCAGTGATTAATGCCACAAAAAGATCAACAGAAGATAAATATATTGAAGAAACTATTGAAGCAGTCGAAAATGTTGGACGATTTAGTTATATAAATAGTAAGTAATGTTTTAAGATAATTAGTTAGTTTAAGTTGAAAATAAATATGTAAAATTTTTTATAGTTCATTGCCAATCTTCTTTAAATGAATTTATCGATACTGCGAATCAACAACTTGTACCGTTCGTTTCTGTAACACCAAATCTTGTTCGTCTAAACATAAAATGGTAAGAACAGCTGAAAGCTGAGAAAGAACGAGTTAGAAGAAGTTTAATTACAGGCAACTATGACACAGCAGATGATACAATAGATTTACATACTGCAAAAGATGCTATTGTTACAGTGGTGAATCCAAATAAATATAATAAAAACAATTTTGAAAACTATGGCTTAATTCTTCCAGTGGTCTCAGTCACAACCAACTCTCCTACCCAAAAAAGCGTTGCAGATGAATTTACATTAAAAAGAGAACAACGAGCTGCATTCATGATAATAACAAGTTATATTGATGGAGACAGCCGATGTCGTACAGGTACTTTTATAAATTAATTTATTAGGAATTGAAGTATACAGTATTTTCACGTGATAGTAATGGTCAACTTATAATGTGCATACCTGGATGTGGCGGTACAGGCAAATCACAACTTTTTCGTGCTGTTGAATATGTATTAATCGATGAAATGAGTATGGTTGGTTTAAATTTACTAGCAAAACTTAATCGAATTATTTGCTCTGCAAAACATGTTGATCCTCAAGTTCCATTTGGTGGTGTGAATGTTATCTTCTTTGGTGACTACTTCCAATATCGGCCTGTTTATAATGCACCATTGCACACCGATTTTTCATTACCATCCAAAAAGAAATCGGGTAAGCTACCCACAGAAAAAGAAATTCAACAACGTGTTGCACGTTCTTTAATTCTTCACATTAATTGTATGGTAAAACTTACTCAACAAATGCGAACAGAAGATCCACGGTACCTTCAATTACTCGAACGACTTCGTCATGGACAATGTAATTACGACGATTATGAATTATTGTTGACACGAGTTGTTGGACAATCATCAGTAGATTCTCTACGCGATGAACCTTGGAATAAAGTAAGTCTTCTTTTTTCGTTTTCAACAATTTTCTATTTTCATCTTTTTAGGCTCCGATTCTTGTGTTCCGAAATGAAGTACGGACACAATTGAACAACAAGGTAGCAATTCACAAGGCAGCAGAAACGAGACAAGCACCAATTATATGTGTGGCTCAAGACACTTGCAAAGGCGAACCAATTGAAGATCCAATACTCGTTAAAAAACTGCTAGAATTATCCGATAGCAAAACAGAGCATCTACCAGGTTTGCTACCTCTAGTTCCTGGAATGCCTGTTATTTTAACACAAATCGTTGCTATTGAATTGTGTCTTATTAACGGAATGAATGGTATCTTTCGACAACTTGTCTACGAAGAAGATTCTGTGTCAACAGAAGTTCTTTCCGAGACATTTCCAAGCAACACACAATACATTCGTAAACCTTCATATGCATTAGTTGAAATTGTCAAATCGAAGTTCGAATGTAACCTTGAACAACTTCAATCAAATCTTATTCCGATACAGTTAATGGAACAAACATTTCGAATTGATATTGCCGATGTTCTACCAAAAGATAAGAGACCAAAATCAAATCGAAAGGCATTTTATCAGTAAAGCGGCGTGCACTACCACTTGTACCTGCTTATTGTATTACGACACATAAAAGTCAAGGCCAAATTTTACATAATGTCGTAGTTGATCTGAAGCTGCCAAATGAAACCGATGACATTGCTGCAGTTTATGTACCTTGGTCACGCGTGAAACGCTTGGCTGATTTAATTATTTTACGACATTTTGATTACAAAATTTTAACAATGAAACCAAGTAAATCTCAACTGGCCGAAATAGAAAGACTAGATAAACTATATTCAGAAACACAAAAGCGTTTTCCTGAATGGTTTTAATGTCTTCTTCATATGATATAAAACTTTGCACACGATTCTTAACATTTATAGTTTTACATATGTAGTTTATGTTAAACTTTTTATATTTCTATTATTAATTTTTTTTTGCATGTTACATGTTTTTCTCGCACATTTTACTCACATATATTCTATTCATTTTGATAGTTCTTGTTAATGAATTTTTATGCAATAGTTTTTCTTTTCTTTATTATATAATAAAATGATATTGAGTAGCTATTTATGCTTTCCTATTCCTTCACATTCTCATCATTACAAATGAATCGCTTAAGTCGTATATTGTTCGTAAACATAAGACTTTTAATATCAAGTTTCTTAATATCAAGTTTCTTAATTACTGTATGAGCATATATTACCAAGTAAAATCAGCTTATTTCATCATGTTACTAGTGTGTAACAGTATAACATTTATTTTGCTTCCAATATTTATTAGTTAAAGTGCACTTGGATAAAAAATTGCTATTTTTTACAATCTCTTTCTGAAAAGTAAGATTTATCCTGAACTATTTTACAAAAAGTCCGATCAGTTTCTTCGACCTTTAGGATTCAAGAAATCGAGATCTGAGTCAGTTATTGTGATAAAGCTGATAGATCGATTCTTTCCATACAGCACATGCGGAATATATTTCCTTCTGATACAGTCGAGGGTCAAGTAAGTCGAACCAACGAACGTTAATTGTTTCAAACTAATGAGAAAAAAAATAGGCTGCATTCTAACTATCAAAAAATGATATTATTTTGTTATTTCTATGAAGCACTAAAATTGAAAAAATATTATGTTTTTTGCTTTCCTTACTCTTGAGCTGAATCTGTAGCCTGACGAAAAAAGAATCGCCAAAAAAAAATATTCTTCATAGGGTTAACGGAAAAATTTCATATACTCTTAGATAAGGCAAAAAGGTCAAGGGCTGGGCCTCCCTAACTCGAAATCCTGGCTCCGCCACTGTTTCTAAATTATTCTTTTCAATATGTCTTCTTTTGATTTTCTTTCTTTCTACAGTTTTTCATCATCCATGTTCTTATGATTAAAATAAATACAGTGAAACACATCATCGATTTTAATTGAGATAAAATATGATTAGAATCCTGCTCTTAAGTATCCTTGAAATTGTAGATGATAAAAGATACGTTTGGAGTTGTTAAGAACCGAGGACGAAAGAGAAGCTTGATAATTCCTTACATTCGATGCTCTAGTGGTAGTATTTAGCTCACATGAGTTTTTGAGGTAAAGTTTTGTGAATGTTGGTGTCTCAAAACCCGCTCGATACGAGTTTTGAGGAAACTTTTAATCTCGCGAAAAGATTTACTGTATTATCAATTATAAATGTCATAGGTATGAGTTCGTTTATTGCTATTACGTTTTACTGTCGACTTACAACAACAGAGAATACTACTGAGAGTATTATCAATAATCTTGCGTATATGCTAGTAGTCTACCATCCAGCGATAAGAAATATACTTCATCACGATATTTCTGGAGACTCATTTTGTACTGATGTTTTTTTTTATTCAATAATAAACATATGGATTAAAACACAGAAAATATACGGAAATTTGGAAATATTTTCTCCTATTGAAAATTTTCGGACACATGTGCGATAGCCAGTCCGAGGCGCGAAAACAGTCTACTCAGTCAGTAACTAACACTTCTGCTTGCGTTCTTAATTCTGGCTGTTGGACAAACATATGTTCAATCATTGCGACATATTCATTTTTAACTTGCGTCAATATTTCCAAATTACATCCCGTTTCTCTCATTAGATACTGCCTCAATCTCGGATCATATTCCGCTACTTGTATTTTTGTATACAGTTCTCTGTTTTCTTTTACCAAAGCCATTGTCTGGCCAAGTTGAAACGCAGTCAGTTTTACGATCTCAGTCAAATCTTTTTCAGATTGTTTAAAATCGAGCTCGTGAAAACAAATTGGCTTAAGTGCATCAAGACGTATATAGAGTTGGTTTGCTTTCAACGCGTTTTTAACATTATGTCGTCGTTCAGATTTTGTTAGCTGAGACAGAATAGCTCGTGTAGCACGAAAAATTTTCTTTTCAATATCACGAGCAACGAGTCGCTGGATTTCGAGTGGATGATGTTGTCTGTGTAAATGATATGTACGAAAGACACTATTATTGGTTTCATCAGGAATGCCTTTCAACACCCATGTAATTATGCCCTCTGATAGAACTGCAAGATTTACATTGATAGGTTTGTCGCTTGAGAAACAGTGTAAATCTTGAAATTCGTAAATGAACTTGTTCATCAGTTTTTGGCATTCAACATATGTGGACGGTTTTTGGTAGTCTTTGAGAAGAACTAAAGTATCAATATCGAGGCTGTTTTCGGAGCCAAAGATGTAATACGGAAGGCCGGAGCGAATGGATACGGGTTTAAAACGATCAATGTTACCTACACAAACGAGCATTTTTCTAAACTGAAGTATTTTAACAAATTGATTTTGCTGATACAAAACAGATCAATAATTATAGTTTCAACTAGATACTTTAGTTTCATAAATTGACTTATTGATATAACAAACGTTTCGACCTCTTCGACTGAGGCCTTTGTCAGTGGTAAGAGTTTAAAGTAAATTAACTAACAACAGTTACATTATTTTACAAATAACTTTAACATATTATCAACATTAGATGTAAGAATTGTACTTTGCCCTTACGGTGTAGTTTCTACAATTTTTGCATATAATGTTGGCAATATGTTAAAGTTACTTGTAAAAGAATGTAACTATTTTTAGTTTAATTTACTTGAAACTCTTACCACTCAGAAAGACCTCAGTCAAAGAGGTCGAAACGTTTGTTATATAAATAAGTCAATTTATGGAACTAAAGTATGTAATTTGAACTATAGTAACAAACTGAAGTAAGACGCGAGGAAAATCTTGCTTTAAGATTTTTCTAAGGAAGAAAGCTGATTTGAGTTTTTGATCCAAGGTCAATGTGTGGAATCACTACAGGATCATTTCATAAACACATCTAGTTTTTATTGGTAAGAGACGAAGCCAAGATTTCTATTCATTTTTATTAGTCTCACTGCCAGCAACACGAATATGAAGTGCTTTTCTACATATTTTACTTCCTTTCCAAGAAAATTAATTTTTAAAAGAAAATCGAATGTTTTTTCTAAAATGGCAACATTATTCTCCTCTAAAACTTTCAATTTCGACTCAACTACAGTAAAAATTCATCAGTATAGGTAAAAGTTATCGAAGAATCGGCTGGCAGACCATTGAGGTATGGGAAACATTTCTATAGAATTTTTCAAAAACCTACTCCACTAGAAAAGCTCATTGAAAGGTTTGCCTTTTTCGCGAACTTCAGCAATTGAATTTTTTGCTCAAAAGATCTTTTAAAAAAGTAAAAACTAATTTTTCTAATACACTTACGTGCACTATCTTCAATCATATTTAACAAATGAAAAAACCTAGTATCCTGTGATTTTGAATTTCTCGCACCTTACTTTGTAAATGTAGTTTTGGGGTCACATAAACAAGTTTCTCTCAACCCTTTTTCCAGAAAAGCTTTTTGATGGTTATTTTAGATAGTGAAACCCAATATAGCCGAGTTTCAGGGGTACCCATACCAACTTGATTTAGTTTTTGTTCCAAGTGGAGGTTTCTACTAAGTGATGCTGACAAAGGACAATGTAAAACGACGAACGAAATTGTAGGCTTAAATTTCTTTTGAAAAAGTTTTAACTAACCTAATATAGTTAATTGTTGAACCATTTCTTCTCTAAATTTTATATTTTGTTCTAATAGTGATGCGATTTTGTCTTTATATGCTTCTCTATTTTCAATCACTTGTTGTTTTCTCGCGTTTAATGTTTCAATCAACTCCATATCATTAATCGGTGCTTTCTCTATTTGTCTCGTAAACGTATTTAATTGTTGAGTATATTTTTCTAACTTTGAATAATGCTCATAAAGAACACGATCACATCGATCCAGATGTTTATTCAGATTATAAATTCGATGTCGTTTTAGAATTTCTGGAATATGAGGTTCTATAGCTGAACTTGTACATATGGGATCAGTCGGTGTGTTTTGCGCGAGAACATTATCTATTACATAGTTTATAACATCGGAACCTGCTTGAGTGAGATTAGACGAAGTGGTGAATGTTAGCAAGATTTCATAATCAGAAATTTTGGTTTCAGCTATATGAAGAATGGTATTTGGAATGAGTTCATGTTCTTCACCAATTTTCGGTTTGAACGTGTCATTTGAGAGTACTATGGCTCGATGATACATGCCAATGTGTAAAACAACCGCATCTTCACAACCACCCGTGTGATCATAATACATTGAATTAGCTGCCGAAATAACCAGTACATGTCCACCTTCGATAAGACGAATAAACTCCAATTTGACCTGGTCACCATAACTTCCACTAATAATTCCAATATACTTCGATGGCGAAATAACCATCCCAACTGTTTTACATCCTTGATGTATGAAATAATCAATTAATACAACTATAATTCGTTGTGAAAAATTATCACCATCGATAATTATATTAACTTCGGAAAGTCGAGGATTTGACGGAAAATCAATGTGGATTACGATGTCTGCCCAACAATGTTCTCGACTTATATCACAATCTCGTTTACCGTATGGGCTACAACGGCAAAAGCCATTCGATTGGTAATGGTCACAATTCCATTTACATTTTGGGCAAATTTCACTCAATTCAAGACACTGACGTGTAAGGATTGAAAAAGTAGACATCTTTTTAAAAGGGTTCTCTGTACAATATGTAAAGCGTTGGTATTTATACATATTAAAAGAACCATTATATATAAGTAATTGTCGAGGCTGATGTAATATTTCATGTGTCTCTGTAATTGCGCAACGGTGAAAAATATTTAAATTTACCTTTTTACTTTTATTGTTCTGTCTGTCAGTTTATCTCAAATATTTTTTCTTTCCTTTTGTTTGAATAATAACATATCAGATATTGCGCAATTACAGAGACATATGAAATATTATATTGCATCAGCCTCGACAATTACTCATATATAATGGTTCATTTAATATGTAGAAATACCAACGGTTTACATATTAAAACAGAGAACTCTTAAAAATGTCTACTTTTTCAATCCTTACACGTCAGTGTCTTGAACTAAGTGTACGAAATGCAGACTTTTTCAGTTGCAATCCTTCTAGTTCCTCCTTGGAAGTAGCAAGAACCTTGGTTTTTAGGTGACTAGTACAACTCACATGTGGCTCTCGAATGACAAAAACCGAAACTTTTTAGCAATTTCTGTTCCTTAGTTATAAGCGATGAAATATTATCATGTACATCCGTATCAATAATTTTTTGAGGGAGTGTAAGTGTCCAGAACTCTTGAAAACACAGCGAATATTTATTTTCTTCGTACGCTCTAGGTACATAGATAGGGAGTCTTTGAACGATAGAAAGAATCCAGTATCACCAGAACGGCATATAAAGATTTTGCTAGGACAAATAAAGATCCCAGCAGAACATGATAAAAATTCTGACAAGAAAAATAAAAATTCGTTGGCAAAATAAAATACTGCTAGATCCTAGACAGATAAATAGCAAGCAAATGAACAAGCAAAGCAATCCATTCTCAGAAGAATGTCAGATGTGTGTGTGTGGGTGGGTGTGGGTGCGGGTGTGAGTGTGGGTGGGTGTGGGTGGGGTGTGGATATGGTGGGGTGGGCGGGTTGTGGGGTGGGGGTGTGGGTGTGGATGGGTGTGAGTGTGGGTGTGTGGTGCGTATGAGTGTGGATAATGATGAAGAGACTTCTCACACCCATACACACTCACACCCACACCCCACACCTCACACCTCACACCCACACTCACACCACCCACACCACACCCATACCCACACCACACCCACACCCACACCACACCCACACCACACCCACACACTCACCCACACCCTCAAGTGATGATTATTTTCCGGGTGTACGTCGGTTATGTGATAAATATGATGCTTTATTAATTGCTGATGAAGTTTAAACTGGTATGGGACGAGCAGAAAAAATGTTTTGCGTTGAACATTGGAATGTTGAACCAGATATATTATGTTTGGGAAAAGCTTTCGGTGGTGGAATTATGCCAGCAGGTAAATGAATTGATTGAATAATTCAATTTGAAATTTTTATTATTTATCTTTCTTCTTTCTTTTTAAGGTGCTTTTATTGGTTCAGAAAAATTATGGACACCAGTATTTTCAAATCCATTTTTACATACAACAACATTTGGTGGTAATCCATTGGCATGTGCAGCTGCCATTGCAACAATCAATGTTTTACTTGAAGAAGGTTTGTGTGAACGTGCACGAACTGTAGGTGATATATTCTTAAGTAAACTTAAATCAACTATTAAACCATATACACCACATATAGCACTTGATGCTCGTGGTAAAGGTTTAATGTTAGCTTTAGAATTTCCTGATACAGATATTGGTTTTCGTGTTGCAAAAGGTTTATTTCGAGAAAAAATTCTTGTTGCTGGTACATTAGTTAATGCTAAAACAATACGTATTGAACCACCATTAACAATAACATTAGAACAAGTTGATACTGTTATTAATGCATTAAGTAAAGTATTAAAAGAAATTGCAAGTGAAATGAAAGTTCAATTCATAAATGAATCAATTGTTAAACCTATGCCAATAAATAATCTTCAACAAACTGTACTTTCAAGACAATTGTAAAACAAAATAAGAATCGGACATTTTCTTTTTTTTTTCTTTTATCTACTTGTTTCAAATGTGTGTGCTTTTTTTATTCTCTTTTGATTAATTTAGTGTTTAATATAAATAAATTAAATAATGTAATTCTCATTTCTT